AGATTCATTGTGAGTCTCTAGTAACATGTAGAAACGCCCTGGTTCAATCATGACGTTAACTGCGGTACAATTAAACAAAATACTACTCAAGTGCAATATGTGCATACCTCAGTCCTAGTAGAACCCAGACAAATCACACGGACGAGCCAACATGTGGGTGATTGCAACCAAGATTGTTGGACCTTGAACACCGAATTTCCAAACTGCATTCCAACGCGTGGAAGTGTTGTAGAGTCATTGGACTCCACGTATAATTGTTGATCCTTGCACCCAATTTGTTCAGCCGAATGCACGAACGAATGTGGAATATTGTAAGCAGCAAGCGCTTGGTAGCCAGTAGTGAACGCAGCCCATACACGCTGGCGGCGTCATCACTACCACTGGGCATCCATATTTGAACGAAAACGATATAGGAATAGTGAAGTAACTACCGCCAGTACGGTTACTCGGTAGAATGAGAACTAAACAAGTGGTACAGTAAAATAGTGTGTACTTAGGTGTTGCCTCCTATATGTGCCGTCTGGTTTGCGTTGCTAATGGGGGAGATCGCTCAACCTGCGCATTCGATGGGGTGTTCACCTTAGACTCTCCGTGTTGCCGACCGGTCCGATCATCTGCTGCCTGAGGTTCGTGCGGATTCTCAAACAACGATTGTTGCGCAACCTTAATCATTGACAGGTGGTAATGGCACATATTCACTGCTTACGGCCTCGTTGGCACGACAGCTACCGCAGTACTACATCAACTAAGTCCCGCTGCCCACTGTCAAACGCGACTTTCCGTACAGTGTTCCCACTGTTTTGTAAATGTCTAAGACAGCATGGCTGTCACCTAAGTACTGAACCGTTTTACATACCTCTCTGTACTCTGCTGTGGCCATAAGCTATTTGGTAACGATCTGCATCGTAGTTCTCGAGTGCAGTTATTCGGTGCTCCTAAGACGAGTGTCACTATGCGCCGGTTCCTGTCCGATGTACTGTACTAAGACATTGACTTATCATTACCGCTGACATTACCTTTTTCTTACTCTGTCCAGTAGATTGGCCATGTCCAGTTCAACTTCTGGCTCGTGTCTCTGCGCTTCTGCCTTCTATCTGCTTAGTACCTGCGTTTTCATTAGCGCATCTCAAATCAATATGGCTGATGAACTACGGAAAATATAGCAAGAAGGAAAAACATTTCAGCTGATGAGATATACTGAATTCACTGTATTTCGTGTATTCTCATTCAGTCGCGTACATACTAATAGTGAAAACGAACGGAAGTGAAAGGGAATCAATGACAAGAATCTTTAATCAGCTGTGGTAATGCTTCTACACTAAAAATCACACCTTACCACGACAAAGCAAGACTGCCACAAGTTCCAGTTGCTTGCATAGGTTAGGGTTTAGACACCGGATAGCGACTGGCTCGGCGAACCTTAGCAAGTTAGGATTACTTTGCCTGTTAAAAACGTCAAATGCTTGTATTGGGTTTTGGCATGTGGTACAGTCGAACAGGTGCCTGGCAATTGAGCTAGCAGGTGGTTTCTCACCAATCAGCGCTAGAGTACCAGTTATGTGCTCCGAAATCTGGGTTGATAGCCTTCTCTCAGTTCGGACGATGTACATGCTACCGAATGTACAGTTAGTTAAACTGCTGGATGAGGAGGTGGTAACTTGAGGGTGAGGTCTGTCGAGGTTGGATTCGTGCAGCAACTTTCTGGTTTGATGCAGCAGCAACAGCTCAGCTGCAGGATAGCACTCCTTTATGGACTGACGTAAGCGTGGGCATTCTGTTCCCCTTTGTGCGATAATGTAATGAAGACCTGCTTCTTAGGAACCTCAACCGGTTTTTTCCTTTCTCGCTATTTCTGTCCTATACTTTGCAATAAACTTATCAGGATAACTACTAGAGCGTAAGGGGGAAATGACGCTTTGTTGTTCTTTCTCATTGGATTCTTCCGAACAGATTTGTTGGGCTCTCACAGAGAAGTACGAACCAACGAGCGTTTTAGCTCAAGGGACAGTGGCTGTTGAAATTTAGGTTTTGCCCTGTTCATCTCAGTTTATGTTAAATCGATCTAACGCGTGAGCATCTGATCTCCTCTCTAGGGCTATATCCTAGAAATGGAACTTGTCAGACGATTCTTCTTCCATGGTGAATTCAATATCTGGGTGAAAACTGTTGCACCCGTCTGGCATACTCTCCACTTGCTGATGGTCATTGACAATCGCAAGTGTATCATCAATGTAACGGACGTAAAAGCATGTTTTCTGTATGGGCTGACGCAAGATGGGTCGTGTAGAAATCGGCTGCAATAAGCCCAAGTGGGCTACACATCCCCACTCCTTCAAGTTGTCGGTAGATTTTTCCATCGAAGCAAAACTGAACATCTTTTGTGCATATGCGAAGTAATGTTTTCAGTCGATGTGCTGGGATCCCTTCTTTATTCACGTGTCTGCCTATGATGTCTAACGTCTCCTCCAAGGGTACATTTGTAAATAGGAACAGACGTCGAAAGACACCATGCGTTTGTTTTCCACATTTAAATTCCTAATCTTGTCAACGAACTCAAAGGAATCTTTTAGGCTATACACTGCTAGCTCGCGTCGGATAGGCTCATTTAGTCACGCTAGCCATCGCCCCAACTTCTTGTATGGTGATCCAATCCTCAAAAGGATTGGACACATTGGAATCCCTTCTTTGTGTATCTTGACTGTTGAGAAACTACGTGTTAGCTCAATTGCCAGACACCTGTTCGACTGTGCCACGTGGCAAAGCCCAAGACAAGCATTCGAAGTTTTTAACAGACAAAGTAATCCTAACTTGCTAAGGTTCGCCGAGCCAGTCGCCATCCGGCGTCTAAAGCCTAACCTATGCAAGCAAATGGAACATGTGGCAGTCTTGCTGTGCCGTAGTAAGATGTGAGTTTCCCTGTAGAGGCACTGCCACAGCTGATTAAAGATTCTTGTCATTGATTCCCTTTCACTTCCGTTCGTTTTCACTATAAGTATGTACGCGACTGATTCTGAATACGCGAAACACACTGAATTCAGTATATCTCACCAGCTGAAATCTTTTTCCTTCCCACTTTTTTAAAGTTCTCGAAGAGAAATGGTTGTATGGAATTTGTAGCTGTGCCAGAAGTCTTTCAGAAATTCAACCATCTGTGAAGTTATATCAGCACCCTTGGGATCGAAGACGAGACCACGAACCGTATAGCAAAAGCTAGAGGTGCTCTTGCTAGTCTTCTCCACCTATGGCGGCGGTGCGACATCGCTCTCGCACTGAAGGGTAGAGTGTACAATTCAGTGGTACGTTCGACTTTACTGTACGGTCGCGAAACCTGGTCCCTTAAAGCATCGGACATAAACGGGCTAGTTACGTTCGACCATCGGTGCCTTCGCACTTTGGCTCACATCCGGTGGGAACACCGCGTGATCAACGAGCGTATTCGACGCCTTATTTATGACAGTTAGAGGAACTGAACCTCTCAGAACCGTCATTACACGCACCAGACTCCGATGGCTCGGTCACGTGCCAGCCCAACAACCTCTGCGACTTGCGTTGTTTGCTCACCGGGGATGTGAATGCAAAAAGAGGAGGGCTAGCCAAGCGATGACTTGGTTCAGAGGAATGAAGGCCCTCACTTCTGAGCTGGCCTCGGTTGGAGCGTCACGGCTCCGTGGTTGGAGTACGAAAAACGATGAACACGTTTAGCTGGATACACTTGCTGACATGGCCAGGAGCCGACCTCAGTGGCTTTCCTGCTGTGAGTTTCGTCGTCCCTCCCTATCCTTTTTAGTTCCCCCCCCCAACCCCGATCTCATTTCGTAGCATAATATAATTTTACATCATAACTTTCCTTGTTGCCTAATGGCCGGCTGCTAGCATTTCGGTACGATGCCCATCCGTTGCTGGTAGCTCAGCTGGCATGCAACTGTCGTATTTATTTTCCTTCTCTATGTATTGTGGCACATTAGCTGAGGTGTTTTCCACCTCTAGCTACCCTGTATACTCATGATAATGATGATGATAGCTGTGCTCACTCTCATCACTTACCTGTGGAGCGGAACATGAACTGTCGACATGATAATTGGTAGTCGGTTAGTTGTCTGGGTTGTTCACTTGCCGCGGATTTTCCAGGTCAGTTCCACCTCGGATGCATAGTCCAACATGGTCGCACTTGGGAAAATCGTTGAGCATTGTGTTCTAAATGTCAAACTTTACACTGTAAACGGCCAAGCGCTGGTAACCTTTCAATTAACACGTATCCACCGAGCTGAAAACAGACTCAATAATTTGCCACCCTAGCATTGATCCATATGAAAAGCACAATTCACTCCGAAACTCCGCCTGTGCCTCAAATGCGAATCATATATATGCTTAGTGTGATTTTACCATTATGCAAAATTGTTAGTTGCCTTTTTTGTAATGTTTCATCTCCTATCTTTTTTGCATTGCGACACATTGGCTGAGGTGTGTTTCTCATGCTCGACTAACTTTTGTTAATGATTATACTTAACCGTAAAAGTACACACCTCTGTTATTTGTTCTTTTGCTAACACCCATCTTGTATTACATCCTTTACCACTACTTATCCGGTGTCTCTCCACACCTGGCCTACTCTTTGAATCCATGCGGTTCTCTCCATACTTCTAATTTTCCATCTTTTTCCTTTGATTACACCGCTCATTAGTGACTTGAACGTGGGTCCCTTAGATTCCCTGTGAGTGTGCTTTCTTTCAACCAGTTTTGCTCTCTTGAACTTTACTTATATTTGCTTCACCTAACTTACTTTTCCCCTCCGACTGACAATATCACATAGCCGAAGTGCACAGTATGTGCGTATTTTTGCCTCTACCCGTTACTGTTCGGGCTGCTCAAATCGTGCAGCAGTTGCATGCGCGTTGACCGATTCCCATTGTTTCGCGTTACGATTTCGGTCTACCTCTTGCAGTCTGGTCGTTGCGTTCTTTGCTGCTTGGATATCTAATTGCACACTCTTTCCATTGCAGCACACTACGCACTGCACTCTACGGACACCGTGCGTTGTCCCGTCGATTGGGTTCAGTTTGGTCGCAAATGCTTCTCCAACGTTCATGTCGTTCCTCGCACTTGGACCGATGCAGAGAACACATGTACCAAGCTTCAGGCTGACAGTCATTTGGTCTCTTTACACAGCCCAGCTGAGCAACATTTTCTTTCTAATCTGCTCAACCATCGCCGCTCTTGGCTAGGCCTCAGAGTACAGCGTGAGTCACCTCTTTGAGTTCATTTATCTGCCACCTATGTGTACACCAACACTGCGGCTCGCACTCTTACTTGAGATTGCACTTGTCAATGGGGTATTTTTGGGAGCAGCCTGCTTGCAGGTAACTGTCGCGTTCGCCTTCACTCCGATTTCCAAGGTCCTTATCTTTTCGTTTCCTTCACTATCTTTCTACCCATTCTCCTAGTAGAAAGTCTGAAGCGAGACTAGAAGCTTAGGAAAGCAATTCACAACTTCGACCGTCCTTTATCGGAATAACTGTTCGTTCATTCTGAAGCTCGTTGTGTAATTGGATTGCGACACGCAATCTCAATGTGGGCCGCGATTTGCAATGTACTGAACCTTGGTCAATCCGGCCACTAGGACCTTAGCTGAAGCAGGTGGAAATTGGGTGTTGCCGGCCCGAAGATACTGCACACCACGACGCGTTTCGATGTTATTTTACCTCATCAGGTGGGCGTAGCAAGTCTCGAACCTGCGACCGTTAGAATAGTAGCCGAAACCTCTACCCCTTTGGCTACCGGGTCACGGTGGGCAACGCTTGGCACAACGGTTACTGATTGATGGGTGGATCATTTTGAAGCAGTCTTTTGTTGCCTTAGTTCGTTGTTTACTTGTCGGATGTTTCGACGAGCTAAGTAAATTGTTTAAGTCCACATTTCCCACCCCGCAACTGAGTGACCCTTACTTATTTACTGCGTCGCACTAATTTACTTACCAGATCGGCCTTCGTTTTGAGTTCCGCTGGTCTACCATCACGTCTGACACTCTTGTCAAGCGTCTCTACTTTCAAAGACTTTCTAATCTTTCTTTCGGTCTGTCAGGCCCACTGAAGAGATCCAAATGTTTGCGCCATTACCAACTCCTCGCAAGTGTGATTTTAACCAACTAATCTGCCACGACACTTTAACGGATATGGACAACCCCACTTTTCTGCTTCCTTGATTATCAATGGAGCTCAACAATCCAAACCCTAATAGTGTCATGTGGGACTTTTCGCAGCCCACCGGCTTTTACTATACGTGAACAGACTTGACTACCTGTTGGTGCCACTATTTCGGTTGTGCTTGGTATATTGTGCATCATATGAAAAATTGCACCGTGTAACCTGACGCTACCTTGACTCAATTTCCGATTGTATTGGTATACTCCTAATAGGTCGCATCGAGTCGCTCTGATTCGCTACTGGGGTGCCGGCCGTCCTGATTGGTTGATGAAAAAGACGTAGCTTCTTTGCCAGTTCAGTGGTCACGAAACCACAAGCAATGATATGACGCAGATTGGTGTCATTTATACGTTCCTTGTTATCTTGAATATTAATTGTTCTCTTCCGTTACTCCGTTAATGATGTTTATCCAAGAACTTTCTTCTGATCAACCAATGTGATCAGCATGCGGTTTCAGAAAAAGATCCTTTTGTGTGCGTTTTATTTGGGGTCTCCTTGTCCAACCCTTAGCAGGCGCTCCTTCTTATAATCACACGTTTCTTCCCGGATTAATCCAAGTTTACACTAGTTATACCCAGTTTTCCATGCCCGAGTGCATGTCCTTTCAGCATTTCAACCTTTGTTACTGGTGCACTAAGATACAATATCATTCGAACAGTGAAATAAAACTTGAGCATACAACGGCACATCCAGCTGACCACTCTCTTTTGCTTACCAGCACGCATGCCAGGTACTGTAAGATCACATTTTGATACGATGTGGTATGCGAAAATGTGTCTTTAAACGTTGAAGCGTGGAAGAAACACACATTCTTGATGGATTTTTGCTCAGTGGCTGTTATGTCATGATGTGCATTGACAGTAAAATCAATGGACGAATCTTTAACCGTCGCTAAATCTCAAACTCTGTCTTATCAATCGCCCACTTAATCTGTTTTGAAACAAACTTTTCAAAATGACACCTATGCTAGATAGAAAATGCAATTACCCTAGGTTGGATTACCCACCGATTCACGAACCTGGCGGTTACATGCTTTGTTTCTCTTAAATTAGTCCGATCTATTCTATACAAATCGCTAGTTTCCTTACGCGATTCTTGTACAGGTCTGATGAGAAATCACTGAAAACAGTTGTTCACCTCTGGTCCTATGTTCATTATATATCCTGATTTTCTTGAGCATTTCGCATAGATGTTTGGGCCAGAAATGATTTTATGACAACACGGTACCCTGGATAAATCTGATATCCTTTCGTTGCTCACAACCAAGATGAAGACATTCTCGACGGTGCGCGACTTATCGGCACGAAGCCAAAAACCTTCTTGCATTTAGGGGCTCTAAATACATGCGGGCTGAATGATGACCATTTCACCAACCTATCCAGCACGCAGCGCTGGACATTTAAGACGCCTTAGCTATTGCCAGACCACATGTCGCAGTGCAACGTCGCCAGTAAATGTGGAATCTATACGATTTCGTTCAGTACCGAGGAAGTTAGGGGAGGATAAGAGATCACTTCATTATGTGGAGCCGTTCGTACAATTTTCCACGTTGTTCCCTCTTTGTGTCCTTCATATCGCCACCGGCAACTACTATTTATCTGATTGTTTCCCCATGTCTGACTTGATTGCACGTTTTCGTGCGCATTTTTAGCTGCGCCACTATGTAATACCCATTTTCAAAGTAATTTGTTCAGGTTGCCTCATTTCGTCTTGGTGACTCTGGGTCTCCTGCGCAGTTGTGGTTATTATCACTGCGCACATTTCTCGACTTCCCGCGAGGTTCTGCTCACAGGGGTTGCAGCATGGTTTGCAGATATCTCACTTGGATCGGAGGACCGACATACTGAGTACACCCACGGTACATAAGCTTTCTTTGGCTTTCAGCAATATGGATATCAACATGGATAATCTAGACAAGTATTCTGTGTCATTTGCGAATTAAACGCAGTTGTTCTGAAACTTCTCATTATTCGACCTCATGAGGTTCACTCAATGGTGTGCAGTTGATATTCAATCGAAGCGATGACCCATAGCGGTGTGCTAAAGCAGAGTTCGTTTGAATATGTCTATGGTTCCATAATATTAATATGAGTTGATAATTTGACGAATCACCTAGTTTGGCTCCTGTAATTTGTCCACGACACGGAGGTGCCGTTTGCTATGAACTACACCAAGGTGATGAAGATCTGTTTTTTTAGTTAAACCGGCAAACAAGGAGATTGATATAACCGCTTGCTCGAGGAACAACGCCGCCTCATGACGTACTTATAGAGTGGTGTTTACGTCCAACTTAAAAATACCGACAACACCACACTATGAAATCTCTTCAGATGAGGTAAAATGTAATTCGAAGGGACACTTTGAAACTGCCGGAGACAAAAAGGACTTTCCCTTTTTTCTAAACTTATAACTTGTGTTTACATCCGGAGTGAAAGCGGGCTCAACACACTTGTTTAAATTATGCTGCCGCCTATTGGCTTAGATTTAAATACACTCTAGCTGGTTTTTGTAAGTTTGTTTTCTATCTACGAGACAAGAGCATTTATGGCACAATATTTTGTATCAGTGTATTATGTGAGCCTCCGTCGAGGATCTTTGTATAACGAGAGATTAAAGTCCTTCCAGCACGATTTTCTCTAGTGATATTATCCAGATAATTGGGTTAGCAAGTAGTGCATCACGCACTTCACAGAAGCTGGAAGTATTCTCTTAGTCGCTTTGACTGTTTCCCTTGATCCTGGTAATCATTGAAGCATACTGTGCAGGGTGACAGTTTTTACGTCTTGCGTTGGACCAACCTTATATATTGGGACTGTTATCGGTTGCCTCCGTTGGAGAACAAATATCCCATTGGTCATTAGGAATGGGCATACGGTGAGGATTTTTGGGTTATCTGACGCACAGTATTTCTGTAGGTCGGGTGGTTATCACTATCGCAGCCACTCGCTAACTCTACGGGCGTGGTGTCGTGGCTCTTGCATGGATTTGGCCACCCATGCGAAATCGGACTCCCCGTGCAACCGTTCGTGGTCGCTTTGCACCGTGGTGTCAGTTCAATAGACTAGGTTGCTGTTTTCACTAACCCTGCTTCGTTTACTCTAGGTCATCTACGTTTTGCTGCTTGGTGGTTATTTCGGCCCAGGTACTCAGTTTCGAACGGTCTCCTCGACCTTGTATCCACTATGGGATACATGCACAGCACTGATAAGTGCCCTTTCCTCTTACCGCTTTCCAACCACTTCTCATCAGTGCTCTGCGTTCATCATGCTTGTTTGTCCTACCCATTTCCAGCTTGTCTCTTCCTTATTGCGAGCCAACCTGACCTCCTCCGCTGCTACCACTCACCCACAGTTATTTACCATCCCTGCCCTCTCTATCACACTCACCTGGATGAGCAGTGCACCTTCGATCCCTGTGGTATTCCATATATGTATCCTGAAGCACATCATTTTCCCATTGCCACACTTCTAATCTTAAGCTCATCCAATCACTTCTTGTCAATAGCACACATTCTCATCACCTCTCCTTCCCACTTCTTTCTCCTACAACAGTGCATGCAGGGAACAACCGTACACTGCGCTACCATTGGTCCGACAATAGCCTAGTAAACTACTTGTCATTTGGGATCGGTCAGCCCTCTTTTGAGTTTAACAACGGAGCTGTGGAAGAGTGTGTTGTGCTGCAACACGGCACACACGACTGGAACGATGTGGATTGCTACGATCGTCATATCTTTGTGTGTCAGATTGCACTGTCACCCGAGGCTGTTGCCTCTCCATCTTCAGATCTACCCGCTCCTGTGCGTAAGTAATCACACTACATTGACTGATCTGGTGAGGTTTCACCATAATGTTGTCTACCTTTTTGGCCTTTCCTCTAAATTGAATGTACCATGTCCTTTACCGGCCGGCAGCCGAAAGTTTGCGCGCTTAATTTGTAGCCTGGACGTCACCGGTTTGAATTCGCGTAGGTATGAGTAAGTGAGTATTCCCATCCCACGCGCGGTCGCGCGCCTGGCAGCGATGCGTCGTTAGGATGTGCCGGCTTATTGCTAATGTCTTTCTTCTCTTCGTATCGTAATTTACTATTATCTGCTCCCATAATCGCATCACTCTCTTTTTTTGTGCTGGTGTGCTCTGCATCCAGCTGACCGCAACGGTTCGGATAAGGTCATTTGATATTTGGTTACTAGTATGCTCGATGTTGACGTTACACAGCTTACTCCTGATACCTGTCCTGAAAAATTAAGCCCCTTGATCATTTTCGCGGCTGTCACGCCACTTACTGTTATTTGTTCCGTTAACATCGAAGTTGGTGGTGGTCTCCCGGCGCTCCATTCTAACAACTTCGTTACACCTGCACCTGCTTACTGCGCGATTACACTGCAGCTGAGTCACCCTAACTTCTGCCACTATCTGACACCGCTTTGATCCATCTATGTGATTGCCCTACAAGGATTCCTGGTGGCTAGCAACGCACCGCGCACAGTTCAAAGCACACTCGTCACATCCACTGCCAACCCGATTCACTATACGCGTGGTCGCGGACGGTTCGAGACCACACCATATTGCATCAGTTCGTCAGTCACAGCTGATTGACGATTCTACTTGTAATGCACTCAACGGCAACACACGATCAGTTAGTGGTGGTACTCCAACACTTGAAGTCCTGGCACTTGACAGGCACGAACTCGTGTATGCACGTGGAGGAGTAGAAATATGCATACCAAGCGCAACTGTGAAGTGATGTCTGGGTCGTAGTCTGTTCCAGCATGAAATCTCTTTTGAGCTTACCCACCGCCACATCACTACCAAGGACAATTGCCACTTTCCTAATACCTATACACAGAGGAGTGGTAAAATCGGACTGGCAGGCTGTCAGCCCTTGTCTCGAGTTTTGTTGAACCTGGTACATCGCATATCGTACCTTGCATCGAGGATGTCTCAGTCAGACGTTCATTTTTGCGGTACCTATTTAGCGAGATGAGAATTATGCTGTATGTTCACCTATACGACTGCAGCAGCGGGAAATGAAGTCACTGACGACCAAACTGGGTGCCGTTGGTCCGTCTCGCCTTCCGGGCTGGAGTCCACGTGATTCGCCTTGTGCTTGGCTCGAGACTTTACAGGACATGGCTCGCAGTAGACACCAGTGGCACGTCTGCTGCCGTCTCCTAATTGGATTGCCTGTTTAAAGTGTGTTTGGTGCTGAGTTATCGGCGGGGTAATGGCGGATTATGACGCGTGGCAGTGAAAGCCGCAAGGAAGCTGTCTCGCCGATGCCGCCTTATCTTTGCACGATAGCCAGCTGTTTGTGACGGAATGTTGTCTACACAAGGTGTAGGCGCCTTGACCCCGAAGATTTGCTTAGGGCATTAAGGTTTTCAGGTAAGTCCCCCTTCTATCCCTCTTCTTATCCTTTATTTCATAGGTCCTCATGGTTGTATGGCAGCGAAGCATCAGTTCAAATGGCTGATGTACTGCTGTTGATGATGATATACGACTGTAGTACGAGCATTATAATACATTTGGATCTGGTGCGTCTCTGCACTCCGCCTTCCCTTCATTCCTCCTGTACGGTTGCGAAACCTGACCCATCACATCAAGACGTATACGGGCTAGTTGCATTCGAGCACTGGTGCCTTTACAGTTTGGCTTATGTTTGGTGGCTACACTGTGTGAGTAATGAAATTGTTGACCACAGGAAGAGCAAGTGAACTGATTGGGGTCATTGTTTCCCCCATTCGTCTCTGATGTATTGGCCGTGTCGCATCAGCTTAGGTGCTGATTGACGAATAGTGGGGAGGCCAGCTGATCAGGCGAGGTGAAGACTCTCATTACGAACTTGGTGTCGACTGGCTGTTCCCAACTTCCATCCTTATGCTCCAAAGATATGCAATACGTTTGTTTGTATGCGTTTGTTGACATGGGGCAGAATTGACCTGAGCGACATTTTGTGTTATCGGTTTCTGTATCCATCCCCATCCCGCTTTGACCCCTACCCTTCTAACTGCGATCTGTTCTGGATGTCTGCTGAGGGGAACTGCACCACTGACCGATCCTTTGCTCGTGGTGATTTTCACCCGAGTGTTGCGCATTCGGTGGCTGAATAGGCATCCTCTATGGCCTGCCACAGTACAAGCTAGAGCGCACAGCACAAGGCTTTGACGCAATCAATTCCATTCAAATCAAGAAATAGTTTTATACATCCAGAAGCATGAATATTCTGCTATTACAAATACGTCTTCAGCATTGTAAAAGGAATAAAACGTAACACATTGAATACACGATTGGTTACTTGATGGCGTGCACAGCTGTGAGGTTGCAATGCACACTTACTTGCAACCTCCATATTTACTGTGATCTGTCCGTACAAACTACGAGCCAACTATGGAGTTTCAGATGAGCGACAAATGTTTCGACACTCTTGTGCGGTTGAGGAAGTTGATACACAATCAGACTGTGCACCATGAAGACGGTTACTTGTATCGGTCTGAATTTGTGGGTTACTTTTTGCATGAATTGGTATTAGTAGACACAATAATGTCAAAAATGGTCAGCTTTGGAATACCATTACATTGTAACCGTTATGTCAGTAGCCTGTCTAGAATTTGAAATGCTTCTTTAGGATACCAAGAAATGTCACGGCGGAATAATAGGTCCAGTGGGATAAGGCACATGCGATGATCAATCGCAGTATAACAGTGGACAGAAGACGATCGCAAACGTGCGGCGTAGTAAGAAATTATGCTTACTTGTGAAAGCTTCATTCACATGGAGTAATCAAGGGTGATCACGGCTACGTGTGACACCTAGATAATACTTCACTGACACGGTGGAGTGCAACTTCGCACACATCTGTGTGTAGTTCAGGACCTTCCATTCGAGGTAGCTGATAACGACATTCTTAGTGTAGAGAATGCATTTTGATACGTTTCGCGATAAAGACTGATCACTGGACTACAATTGCAAGATTATCCAGATAGGTTTGTAATCTGGTTACTGGTGCTGCAGTCGGATACTGTGTATTTGATGCCACGTTGTCTGCGTATTTAAGCAATATCGTTTCATCAAGTGCAGGCAGTGAGGCAACTCAAGTGGGAAAGTGGTATGGAGACAGTATGGCCCCTTGCAAAACATCGGTGGCATGTTATTATTATTATTATTATTATTATTATTATTATTATTTACAAGTCTGTAAACAGACAAATGTGCCATCCGAACCATGGTGGTATGGAAAGGAGAATGTAATGTTCAACGAGGAGAGAGTAAAACGTTAGAAAAATGTTTTTTTTCAGTTTCACACACGCCGTTTTGCGTTTTTTTCTGTTTTCATGTTTTGTTCAACATTAACAAGCACAGGATGGAGGGATGGTAGAACAGTATTGACGCTACTGACTCCTATTGTGGGCCATATACTTTAGGACTTCCAACCATTGAGAATCCGCTTCACGTGGTCCCCAGTCTGGAAGACGCACAGCTCCAACTGCCGCTAGACACGAACTTAGGATCTTCATACTCCTTTTCCAGATCATCGGTTGTCCGCCGCGGCTCTTTTTCCATTCGCCTCCAGGAACTGCAGTGGCAAGCTGTTATCCACATGTCGAGTAAACTGGCCACAGCTAGTGGAATAGATCCACAGCAGGTAGGCGGTAGAAGGTTAAGTTCCGATATCACTTAAGTCTCTCAGAATAAGCTCACGGTTTGCGCTACCGAAAGCATTACTGTATTCGAGAAATATTTCGCACGGATTTGATCTGGTTGTCTAGTGGTACCAGCACTGGATGTACAAGGTAGGCTAATGCGTCTTGTGTAGACCTCAGTTTTCGATAAACAAACTGGAACGGATCATCTGAGTGACTTTGAGTCTGTATTCTTTTAAAGAATAACCTTCTCGAAGACCTTCAAGTTTACTGAGGCGCAAGTGCTTGGCCGGCATTTATTTGAACCTTTCTTTGGTACTGGTGTAATTTCAACACTTCTCCGACAATCATCAATATTCCATGCTCTCATGCACAACGTGTACTGGTCAGCATGAGGCTGGACCCGGAAATCAGCACACATACCTCGAGGACAACAGGAGATAGTTCATCCGGGCCACTTGTTTTGTTGGAATTTGGCTTCATCAGTTTATTCTGCACTGCATTTCTGTCAATGGTATATAAAGTGAAAAAAGAACACGAGACCATAGGTGAGCAATTGTTTTCCATGATTCTCTTCAGACCATTACAATCATATTTAAGGGTAAAATAAGGAACTTAAATCAACCCATTGGCTCAAATCACACAGTTCATTAACGGTTCAGTGTGGGAGGCTAATCTGACAGGTCGATTGCGTGGTACCGAGCTTGATCTGTGGCAATCGACCTCAACATCGTTCGTTCTAGTTGGCCAGGGAATCTGTAAGTCATGGATCAAATCCTTTTGCGAGCATAAAGAAGGCTGAAACAACCGGGTGCAAAGCAATTCAGCTGTCGCGAGCGCACGGAGGGGCAAACCTCTCGATTGATGCTGGGAGCCCCTGTAAATTATCCTGAAGGCACGCTTTCGATCAACTTGGTGCCCAGTGTCGACAATATGGGCCATAACGGCGGTGCCTATGGCCCCGGTTCCTCCTTGACCCAACCAGCGTTAGCGGTGCTCGTTTCACGCGTTCGACCGAAATAACTAGCGTCACATGGGCACTTGAACTGATAAATAACCATAGATGAGGTCAGCATTGGCAGACAAGTGGTTCAGTAGGAAATGTACACTTTAGCCTGACTGCTGGGCATGTCCACTTGACTGCCGCTGAATGACTTTTGTTTAGGCCCTCGGCAGCGGCATCCCCTTTAAAAGGTTATCTTAAAAATAACTCCTTTACCGCACTTAAAACTGGTACCGGCTTGGGTTTTTCTTCAAAATTCGTTGTAACAAACCTATCAGAGTAGCCATTCTCACGCAGCGTATTCTTTATAAAGGCTAGTTCCTCATCCAGCGTTTCCTGTGAGCAAATCCTACGTGCTCTTGTGTTAAGGCAGTCGATTAAGTTTTGCTTAAATCTCAGTGGGAAACTGAAAATTCGTGTACTGACCAATCCACGTATAGCCATTCCGTTGAATGGAGCCGTCTAGCCTCTTAGTTAACAAGGCATCTAGATACGAAAGCCGATTGCAAGTTTCTGCCTCGTAGGTAAATTGCAGTGTTGCGTTAAACCGGTTAAACCGCTCGAGAACCTCCTCCAGGTTTATGCATTTATTCACACTACAGTTATATCACCTATATAACGGTGGTAATGGTAAAAAGATTTTATTTCCGCTTGCAATTTTGTTCGCTCTAATTTGGCCATGAATATAGCTGCGAACAACGGACCAAGGGGGGGGGTCCCATGGCGACACCGTCCTTTTGCGGGTAAAATTTACCATTAAATAGAAATTGCACATTCCATGTGCACCGCAGCAATAAGTTTTGCAAATCAAGCACAAGTATACAAATTTTAATTTCCGACTTCGTTATGTGCTGGCAAATGTAATCGATAGTTTCGATAAGCGGGAGGTTAGTGAAAAGCGAGACAACATCAAAGAAGAGCATCACTTTCTCATTAACTTTGGCCACTTTGATGCTCTCGGCAAACTGAAAACTGTCGCGCAGGCTGTAAGTCGCAAGCTGTTGTCTCACCGGCTCAAGAATTCCTACCAGCCACTGGGCAACTGCGTGGTAGGGGGAGTTAGCCATTGACAGAATAGGACGAAGCGGGATATCGGCCTTATGGATTTTTGGCAAGCCGTAAAGTCTCGGAACGTTTGTGCCACAAGGTTTAAGACTGTCATACAATACATCGGTTATATACCCCTTGGCCCGAAGCTGTTGGAGGTTTTTAGTGATTTGTCTTTCATTCTGTTCCGTTTGGTCAACTTCCCTCGTGTCACAGGAAAACTTCGTCTTATCACTCAGAATAGTTATGAGTTTATCAATATAGTCTTTTCTGTTAGTAACACAATCCCGGCACCCTTGGCCGGTTTGCACAGAATGATCTCATTTCGTTTAAACTCCTTCAATGCGTCTGGGTGCTTTCTTGTTAATGGTTCACGATTATGCGCACGATCTTTAGAATATTGGTAGCAACAATGTACCAAGAAGCACTTAAAGAGTTCGAGATCCATATTCGACTTAGACGTTAACCCGTTCGTTTGGTCATATAGGTTTTCGATTTGCAACTCGTAATGAAGTTGGTTGTCTCTATGTCTAGGGGCACAACATTTTAAACCGAGCGATAGAACTTCAATTAATCTTGTATCCAGTTTCATGCTAGAAAACTTGTTGACGTACCTTCCGGGTCTGTTCGGAAATACAACTTGCGGTTTTATATGATGGGTGGTGGGTAGTTGTGAGCCTGTCCAATCGGGGAAATAGTCTAACAATAGACATGGAGCCATCAAAACCCATGGAACTCAAAGGAAGGTACAATTGTCGTACAATGAAAAGGTAACACAAATGAGTCTATGGTTTCGTCCGTGAGCAACATACTAGTCTTGTCTTAGGGCGCACCACCCCGAGCCATTGGCCGAATAGCTTATCCCCAAGGCAACGGAGCAAACTCAAGGATTCGCGGCCATTGGGAGCCGATGACTGATCGCATAATTCATACACCTTTCGTTTGTTCGTTTTCCAAACAGGGGCCAATGCTCCCCACAATTACAGCAGCAAGCTGCTAGCATACAACTCTCCGCCAGTATGGAGCAAAGGGGAGTGACCTTATTCATTGGCGAGCGACATCTGCCACCTCACAGTATCGTTAAACGGACATATGTGGATTTTTAAAAGTAAAACGCTTATTTGCCGACGACCCACCACGTGTTGGAACATTATCGTTGAACCATTCGCTGAAACGCGCGAACCCCGAACCACCCAGCTGACACCACCTATAGGTTGTTCGGCAAGCCAGCCACACTACGTACATACATCAGTGTCATCGAATACACTGTAATCTGTGGATGCATGCATTTCTATAGTACAATAGTGTATGTTGGGATAAAAAGCGTAACTTTACAAGACCCCCAGAATGGAAAATGCACACGAAAATTAAAATCAAAATTGTCCCGACGTGGAACGAAATCATCAGTAGTAAACATATCGCACTTTATCACACTGTTGTTTAATATTTAGCACTAAGATTAAAGTCTCGAAGTCTCTCGAATATCACAATGTATGGTGCGTTCACCACGTGTTGGTAGTGCATTCCAGTGGGAACAGATTCTAAGAGAGTAAAAACACTTCATACAATTCAAACGGGTATTGCGTCACTAGTTTCAGCTAATGGCATCGACAATGTTGGTAAGAGGCCAGGGTCAGCAGTGATGTACATAGGGGCTCGTCTTCAGTTAGTATCCGGTATGGGAGGATGAGATCCCCGCAAAGCCGTCAGTATTCTGAGGAGAACACACCGATTGAACGAAGGCGCAATTCGAAGCTGCTATGCACTTTCAGCAAATGGCACTTTGCACGGTTCAGTGGGAGCTGGTTCCTTTCTGCCTATTCGTTAATCCGATCCAGATCGTTCTGGAGATAGACACGGTTGAATGCTGAGCGAATTGCTCCTCATATTTTGGCATCATCTGCAAATATCTGTACCGCGGATAAAATGTTTTTTGCATTGTCATTTATGCGAACTAAAATCAGTAGTTGATATAGGTTCTGAGGTGAACATTGTCTTCTTTAAAGGCTGTAATCTTTAAAGCGAGTAACCTCCGTATGAGTAGAAATACTTTATCGCGGTCCACTCTCAGTCAGCAGACTTCGGCTAGTCTGGAAAAGCACCAGACACCGATGTTTTGACCTTCTGGGTCTCGTCATTGGTGCACCTTCCAGCGGACCGCTGCCGACCGTGATGAACTATCTCCCATCATGCTAAATCCCTACTGCTCATTAGTAACCTCCGTGTGATTTGCCTTAGTATAGACGGCAGACGATAACTTGACCGTTGGCTGATCAGAGCTACGAATCGGCACCTGATTGCGCACAAAAAACAGCTTCGCTTGGTTAACAAATATGTGATCTAAGGTTGCTTCTAGTTTGTTGGGGATTTTGCAGCTCCATGTCTGAGATAATAGTGATATCAGCTTTGAGTATTCCATCTTGTGTCCTCAATCTTATCTCTCTTGCTCATCATTATAGTTGACGGAATATTAGGGCTATAGTTGGTATAATTATGCTCCAAAATATTTCCCTCCATTCAGCACGATGTTTTTAGTAGAACTGCTATGTAGATTCACTTCAGCTTATTTCCTATAGGTTGCTCGTAGAAAACCGACGCGTTCCCTTTAGTTGAAACACAGGGTTTTCAAAATGTCACGAGTGTAGGTTATTACGGCCTTGATTATTGTATTACTTGGTGTGGAAAAACAAAAGCAAAGATTGCCGATGGTGTGTGTACAAATAATCACGCAGATAAAACAGCAAAGCGCGCAGTTTCGCCACTGGTCCACTAATCATTGTACCGTAGCTACCTACTTCTTACTGATGCACCAATAGTTCTGACATGTTCTACAGCCTCCCTGAACTCACCTTTCTCGAGAGTGCAGTGTGTTGCGAACACGCTGCACTTTAACCTACTGCTTCCCGTTTTGTTGCGACGGGATAACTCGCTGAGTTGCGATGAGCTTTTACCGAACCGGTTGCAAGCATCTCCCAGTTCTCCCTGTTTTACTCACTACATTGTTTCACGAATTCAAAATTGCTAACTACACACCATACTGGGCAGATGGTGTTCCAATCCCACGATTGGAATACATCGTGTCGCTTCTAATTCGGCCCATCGAATCACTTGCCGTTCAGATGTAATATGCACCCTGTCGTCCGTAACGCAGCTACTTCGCAATCGCGTTTCCCCACGCGCTTATCGTTGTCGTTGTATCATGAAAACGAAGTGAGTAGCTTTGCTACGCTGTCTGTGGTTTGGTAATTCTCAGGCTTCTTTCTGTCTTGGGTAGGCAAATCCATTTCCAACCAACTGGCCGCAGATATCGTTCTTTTGACCAGTCTTACACGTTCCTTTCTGGAAGCTGCAATACCGAGCTACAGTTTCCACATGTTTGGGTTGTTTACTATTTTACATTCATACCTTGTTTTTCTCTCCTCCTTGTAACGACAGACTTGTTCTTTCACATCTGACACTGACTTCACTGGTTTCTATTTTTACTTGTCTGAACCACGATCACCGGAATTGATTTGTCTACACCTCAAGTTCAGAAACCTTCGATCGGCAAATAAGTGCTGGGAGTCTGCAATATTGTCGGTCGAACCACTGATGGTGCTCTCTCTTGGCCTTCGCGTAATATCTTTTTAAGCTACGTAAATGCGTTTCTGTCTATATGCTGTTGCTGGAACATAGTCGTCTTCTCACTTTTGTCATCCACTCCATCTTTCCCCGCTTCTTCATTTTTTCCCTGATAGAATCTGCTCCGGAGCCAATGTGCACTCTGGACTCACAGAATCGCAGTGCATGCTTCCATTTCCATAGAGATCCGCGTGAATTTCTTGCTGCTGAGCTGGAATGTCGATCTCACAACACAACTCTGTTGACCGTTCTCAGCAAACACGATCAGCAGTTCCTAGAACAAGCTCTGCGAAACGTATGTTTTAGTTCTATTCTCAAACTTATTCTATCTTCTGAATTTCTCTCTACTCTGATTTATTAGCGGCAGTCAGAAATCAGCGTCAAGCGATAGGCGTCATCCAACACGCTCTAGTTGAACCAAAGTGACCACGCCTAGATTGCGTCGAATGACCCTTGAACTGATTCACTCTGGTTCAGTGTTTCCAACATCTCATCTCACTTCATTGAATACGTTTACACACGTAACCCCACTTTACATGATTTCAAGCATACCTTCGCCGTGACATTTAGTGTTCTATTCCCAGCGTCTCCCTTCCCATGTTGTTGCTCATCAACCTGCAATGACGCTTCTCTCACAATAGGTTTCACATCGTTTTGACAACGGTTCTGGCCATATGGGAACGCAACAACACTTCGTGTTACATTGGAAAGCTGTCTCAACGTTCTACTGGGTGGGCAACGCTACCTCAGCACCACCTGAACATGGGGTTGGGTTTGCAATATCCGATCGCCTAAATCGCCGGCTGGTAGGTGAACCAGGGCAGGAGCGCGCGAATGATGACTGTTCGCCTGTGACTCGGAGAAGTTAAGTTTACTAATTTTATAAGCCATGTGTTATCCTAATGATACGCGTGATCAATTCTACACTCAGTTATCCTCCGTGATACGGTCTGTGTCGAGGAGCGACCGACTATGTCTGCTGGGTGGTTTCAACGCGCGCTTCGGGCGTGATGCATCGGTGTGGACAGACGTTATCGGTCCGCATGACATTGGTTCAGCGAATGCGAACGGTGACCGGCTGCTCTCACTGTGTGGCACTCACGGTCTGACGATCACGTACACTCGGTTTGCACTGAGTGCGAGTGATATAGCACCCACGGAGTGGTCAGGCTCACCTGCTCGACTCTGTCATCGTACGTCAGCATGACATACATTGTGTGTATAACACGTGTACTACGTGGAGCTGAGTGTGGCACTGATCATAAATTGTTACGGACCAAATTGTACATATATTGTCGTGAATCTCTGTATTGCACTCCCGCCGTGAAGCCGCGTAAATGTAACATACTATCTCTCGGTACTGTGGTGAAATGTATTGAGCTGGAGAAGGCGATGGCTGCACGCCTGTGTGATGTGGAATGCATAGCCACAGTGGGCGACCTGTGGCACTACATTCGCGACCAGGTGACAGCTGCTGCCGAGAAGACCATTGGGCGCGCAAACTGTAAGCGGCCCGATTGGTTTGATGGGAACAGTGCGACGATTGACGCATTGGTGTCTGAGAAGCATGCAGCATTTGCTTCACATGTTGCAGACCCCAGTGACTTGGGGAAGAGTAGTCAGTTTCGCAACCTTCGACGGCGACTAACCCGAGAGCTCCGTCGCATAAAAAATGCATGGTGGACGGAGAAGGAGAAACAGATAGAATGCTACGCCGAATGTCGCCAACACAAGGAATTCTTTTACTCCTGGAACGCGGTGTATAGACCGAGGTTGGAGCCGCTGAGGACGCTGATCGATGGTAATTCAGATGCTACCTGGACACAGACTGTAGACATAATGCAGATCTGGCGGAAACACTGACTTTCTCTTGAAGAACCAATCAGCAATTGACTGACCTACATTGCGCGGTCTCAAGCAGCACTAGGTGAACATGATTCTGGCGGACACACCTCCACTGGATGAAACGCAGAGAGCACTTGCTCAGCTGCGAAACGGCAAATGTTCTGGAGGTGACGGGATCCCGCCTGAAGTATTGAAACACGGTGGACCCGCGTTGTTAACTGCGCTGCACCACTTGGTGCGGCGCATTTGGATTGGGGAGGAGGTGCCTGCTGAGCTGATGGGTGCCCTTGTGCTACCACTGTGCAAGGGCAAAAGAGTGCAAGGTGATTGCCCGAATCCTGCTCAACTGCCTCGTCAGTCAGGTAGTGGAACGTAGTGAAGAGCAGTGTGGATTCCGTTCGGGTCGCAGCACTATAGATATGGTGTCTGCGGATCGTCAGTTGCAGGAGAAGTGCAGAGAACGACACCAGCCGTTGTACTCGCTTTTTGTTGATTTTACCAAGTCATTATGCACGGTGAACCGCGAGGCATTGTGGCTGGTGTTGGTTAAGTTTCGTTTTCCGAGTAAGTTTTGTAACTTTTATTGAATGTCTGCACAGTGGTATTCGGGTGGGGGTGCAGCTGAGTGGAGAGACCTCGGATGACTTTCCAGTTGTCTGGTGTGAAGCAAAACTGTGTCCTAGCTCCTGTCCTGTTTACTATATATCTTCATGCAATGATGTCATGTGTTTTTGATGCGGCTTGTGCTTACTGTATTTTTGTGGAGCACCCGTATTGATGGTTGGTTGCTGAACATTCGTCGTTTCCGTGCGAGAACCATAGTCTATGAGACAGCTATCCGTATGTTGCTGTTTGCTGACGACTGTGCGTTGTTTTCGCACAGCGCGGATGAGTTGCAGCACATGACTAGTGCTCTGGCTTCGACAGCGGCCAAATTCTGGCTCACCATCAACACAAGCAAAACTGTCTGTCTCTTTCAGACTTCGGATCTTGGTAACCCTTTCTACAAGCAACCACTCAGTGCTCATTGCTGATATGGAATTACCTTTGCCGTATTTACGTCCGCTGGAACCAGCTAACACCTACTGGCAAACGGATTTCGACGGTCTAGCTCGAGCGGCGAGCCAACTGGATTGATCTCTGTCACAAGCTGCATCTGTGAAAGTCTGTTGGATAAGTATAAAAGTGAGATTGACATCATTGTGTTCCCAATTCGTTCCCTTGAAATGTCGGAAGGTTGGACCGATTTACCCTCATTGGTTTGACAAGGAGTATGGAAATCTGGCTCGAAGGCGGCGCAGATTGTGGCGCAGATTCCTCCACTCTGGCTCTGCCAAACACTACGAAGTGTATAAACGTCAGCTGAGCTTCTGCAACAGTGCACAAAGGAATAAATGCCATTTCGAAGAGCAGGTCGCAATAGCCGCGAGGACCGTCCCAAAGAGAATCTTTGCATACGTGAAGCAACGCCTGAAGCCGGCATGTGATGTGCCACTGCTGGATGGCCCGGATGGACAGCCCCTAACCTCCATCACTGAGCGTGCATCCGCGTTGGCGGCGCACTTCGCTTCTGTATTTGCAAACGACCAGGTGTCTGTTCCGAGTTCAACGTGTACCGCTTTTACCGAACTCGACAGTCTGGATTGCGGCGGTGAAGGAGTATATCAAGTACTCGCCAACCTTGACCGCACCAAACCTGCTTGTTCTGATGGGCTTTACCCACTGGTTCTCAAGTCACTTTCGAACATCATCTCTCCTGTCGTGACTAACCTTTTCAACTGGTCGCTGTCAGAAGGTTCGTTGCCGATTGACTGGAAATGTTCAGCGATGAAGCTTATTCTGAAAAGCGGTGACCCTAGCAAAGTAGACAACTACAGGCCAATTTGACTGACATCTATTTTGGCAAAGGTTGCGGAGAAAACCGTGCAGAAGGGATTTATGCATTTGCTACAGTCAAAAAAGGTCCTGACGCCTGCCCAGCACGGTTTTGTGCAAAGCCGCTAATGCATTACAAACTTGCTTGTGCCGAGGCATGAGTGGTTGAAGGCAATAAACAAGGGGAAGTCTGTCGACGTGATATTCGTCAATTTCAGTAAAGCGTTCGACAAGGTCAGCAACAAGGTTCTCCTTCATAAACTCAGGATGTGCGGTGTCGGTGGCTCACTGCACCGGTGGATCTGCGACTTTCTTGTTGGACGAAAGTGGAGGGCACAGGTCAACGGCCATATAACTGACTGGTATCCCTCTACTAGTGGCGTGCCTCAAGGCACTGTGCTGGGGCCCACTCTGTTCCTGATCCACATCAACGATCTACCTCAGCTTCTCTGGTCGCCGTGTGCCTTGTTTACGGACGACATGCAGATTTAGAGAGAAATTGATGCTCCCGACGACTGTGGCCTACTTCAGCATGACCTCAACCTATCCACATGGTCGACAGCAGTTCATCTCCCGGTCAACCCAACCAAGTCTGTATGAATGAGCCTGGGGAAGGGTGCTGACGACCGAACATACATCCTTGATGGCCAACTGCTATATCCCACACGCTCCGTGAAGGACCTAGGTGTACTATCGCGCTACGATTTGATGTTTGTGGACAACACGAATAGGCTATATCGTAAGGGACTGCGCATGCTTTGGGCGCTCAAACGTAGCTTCAACACATGGTCTGAAGAGGTTGCCACTCGCCTCTAACATCATTAGACCAGTGCTAGAGTACGGTTCGCCCGCATATTTTCTGATTATCCGAGGTAAGGCACAAAAGATCGAACGGGTCCAACACGTTGCTACCAGGCTCATCCCGAGTTTATGTGCCTTGGGGTATGAAGACCGGTGCGAGAAAGTACAACTCATTTCCTTATCCTACCGTCGGATGCGAGTCGACTTCATTATTACCTACCGTATTGTGCATCTCAGTGAGTTCTCCATGTTAACGCCAATGCTGCACTTACGAGGGCCATGCAGCACACGAGGACACAGACACAAACTTGTCGTGCCGGATGTGAAATGTGTTCCCCACCCACTGTGCTTCGAACGGAGAGTGGTAAATCTTTGGAACAGTTTGCCTGAACATGTGATGGAGACAACCTCTGTGCACTAGTTCAAAACTTTGTTAGAGTTATCTTTTACCACTATTCGATTCAAAGAACGATTGCACACTTACGATGACATGTGAGTCCTGCAACACCGTGAATCAGATATTTTAAGTGAGAACGAAAACCATATTCACGACTGACACTTTTTGCATATTTTTATAACGTTTTTCAACATATTTCGGGAGAGTTGTGCAGGATTCATTTCTACTTGCTCTGTAATACAATACTCAGTAATCACTCAAACCCCAAGCGAATCTGTCGCTTACATCAATGGCCTATCATCACTATAGACAGTACATCCACATTTGCCAACGGTTAAGTAATTAGATGTTATGCAAGCTGCTTCTTGTAAATTTTC